TACTGTGAAAACTGTAAAATGCAAAATAATTGATCTCAATTTCTGAGAAACAGTATAAGGCATTATAAGATCCAAAAGGTTTGTCAATATTCAAAAGGTTTATTAGTATTTCAAGCCTAAGGAAAGCTTGCTGTTCTTTATAATAAGTAAAGACATTGTATACATTATAAGGCATAAAAGATTTGTTCACATTATAAAGGTACATAAAGTTTTTTATCCCTTGCAATAAGTAAAATGACTTATATTTGATCTCGAAAATGATGAGGAGTATATACTATAGGAAGGATGGTATTAATTATAATGTATGCAAATTAATATAACAGTCTAAAAGACTGTTCCAAACCAATATACATTTTTCTGCCTTATAATGTTGACAGAAGCCTTACTAAAGAATTGCAATGTATATACAAACTCTACTTATATTCATTTTACTTTTTCACCCTTACATGCATTAATAATGATTCAAATTATTTATATTTTCGTGGCAATATTACAACGTTACTAAATACTAATTATAGCACTAACAGGTGCAGGAGTGAGAAGAAAAGTAGTAAAAGCAGAAAGCATACTGTATGAGTGTCAGAGTAAGAAATGAGACAAACAGCTGATCTTGTTAACACAAAGCAAGGGAAACAGTTATGAGACTTGCTAAATGAGGCAAGTAAGGTGAACGTCAATGTGTAGAATTAGAAAGTGGAAAAACGAACCTAAACCTCATCCATGTGTGTATTGTCTGGCAGGTGAGTGTCTTACGTTCGAGTAGCCAGTCCTTGACCCTGGCCAGCCAATCCTCCTGCTTGGGACTGTCCACACCCTTCGCAAGCCTTCCAAGCTCTCAAAATGGCTGCAATCAATGACTCCTTGTCCTCCTCAGGTTCAATAGTGAGCAATTCACCAGAGGAGCTGAAAACCTGCCTAGAAACCTGGTAGTTAGTTAATGTAGCTTTAAGTAAATTTAAAAATGTATAAAACATACCCATTCCACCAATTAAGTGTGTCCTGGACCCATAGAGACTTGCAGTCTTCAAAAAACTCGAGAATAGTGTAATAAAACGCTTTGAAATTAAAATTTTCATTGACCTTGCTGAAGGTTTCAAGTGTTGAAATAAAAAAGCATGCCTATCATATCAAAAGTATTGTCAGTGTTGCTAGATTATATCACTATCACAGTCTGAGTACTTACCTGGACACATATGTAGGCAATCATCTCTAGGGTGACAGACTTCATACCTACAATCTCAGCATTATTTGCCTGCATTGTTTTACCTTTGCTACCAGGCTCAGCATCTGTAGAACTTGGGCTTGTAAAGATCAGCCAAAGGCACTACAAAAGAAGTATCAGTATTTGTAAAGAATAATAGGAGTGTACTTACTTTGACAAGAAAACAGCCTCAGAATAGGCCCTTGTCCATTACTTCTGGATTGTATGACCCTTCCTCATACAGGAACACAGGGAATGACCTATGTGTGATTGGGTATTTTTTTGACTTTACATTGTCTTTGAAACTATACAGTAAGGATATGAGTAAGAGTGTTCATTTTTTGTTTGACTTCATCTGTTGGTCTGCATACCTTTCCTTGCTACTGTGTGCATGCAGGAGTAGCATTAGTACAATCATCTGTAACAATTGTAGATAGTGTATACCTCTGCCCATCTTACTTGGTTGATTGTCAATCAGTAGTTCTGGCTGGCCTTCCTTGAGCACATGGTAGTGCCCCCTCTGTTTGAGTGTAGATGTGTTGTTACTACAACCTTGCTCTGCTTTCTTGTTCACCTAAAGTAAATAGAATAGATTAGTATCATTAGTGACAACAGAATACAGTGTGTGATAATGAAAGTCTGATGACAGAGATGGAGAATGAATTCTGAGGGAATGAAGATAGATAGGGATAGTACACACACACATGCATTGGCTACAGAGTGGACATTGGCTGCAAAGTTATTTTGTCTGTCAACTAGAGTAGAACAGTAAGGAACATGATAGAATGGATAGGTACAACTTCATTGTGTTATGCACGTACCTCAACCCAAAGTGCCTTAGCCTCTAGACTAGAAAGCACTTCATAATAGGCCCTCTCATTAGAAAAGAGTGTAAGGACACTCTTATAAACCCTGAAGAGAAGGTCCTTCTCTTCTTCACAACTGACACAGAGTTGTCAGTAATTGTCAGAGGAGCAGAATATAATCAAACTTACACATTTGTAATAACTCTCTTACAAAGTTCCATGTCCTTAGTGTCATAGTTTGTAGCTGTCACTTCCATTCTTGAATACATTTTGAGAGATTCAACAGTTATACTATAGTTCATAGCACCTAGAATGTTAACCCAAAGGTCAATGTTCTACTTGATAGACTGTGAGAGCTGACATATTTGTTTGAGTGTGTCTCTGTACCTGTACATTATAAATGTTATAAGTGAATGTAATGGCATGTAAAAACAACAAGATGACTCACTTGATTTGCTTTGAACAGCCAGATTTTGTTATAAGGCTCCTCTCCTCAAGTGTTTACTGTTTTGAAGGCAGTAGGACACTTGGCAGAGAAGGAACCTTACTTGGGTCAAGGCTTGGTGCTCATCCTTGGTTGAGAGGGGGTGGGGAGGACAACCTGAGTTTGTATGAGTGAAAACAAACTGGCATATTAAGTAACTTGAGAGGAAGATGGATTGAGACAAGAGAACAAGGACTGAGAGCACTAGAGATAGTATGAGGGTAAGTCAGCAAAGTCCAGTAAGTTATTAAAAGTGATTCAAGGAACAGTACTAACTAGGATACTGCTGACAAGTAGTAATATTAATACTTTCTGTGTCAAAGATAGAAAGAGGATGAAAGGAGTGAGTGAGTGAGGACAAGGAAGTAAGGCAACTGTGACTGAGAGCAAGAGCCTGAGAGTGTTGACAATAAGAGCTCTTGGTAGGGGGGGGGGGGGGAAGGACTTATCTAGCAAAAATATGCTAGGAAAAGCAGGTGTATCCAAAATGAGAGGATTTGATATACCTAAAATAAGAAGTACACAGTCACTTGGCTGTCAGTGCTCTGCATACACTGTACATAGCCTTACACGTGTAAAATACTTAGCTCAAACATGTGTAAATTCAGTGTTTCAGCTGTATATTTAGTGATGTTCAATAAATGCATAAATTGACTAGCTTGAAATCATTAATATTAGTCTGCATCCAAGCCAGGGGTCAAATATTGGCCAAGCTGCTAGGGAACTTCAAGTTAGCTTTATGTACAGAATTGAAGGCATCTTTCATGACATGTAGTAGGCTGTAGCTATAATAATGAACTTTGTACAGCTTGAATGCAGAACCCACTTGCTATTAAAGTTGACATATGGGTGGATCTGATACTACTCAGCAATCAAGAAAATGCTTACCATTTTCCTTCTAGTCTAGTAGTGCTTCTCAATTTACTTACACTAAGATACTTGCACTTTAGCATGGAGGACAGTACCATTGTTGTGGGACTGTAGTGTACCTTAATACTTACTATATGGAGTATATGTCTGCACAAGTCTTGGGAAGAGGTCTGACCCACTTCTCAGACTTGTACTGAGAGCAGAAAATGATGATTGCTCACTTAAAGCAAATACAAATTATTAAAAAGACAGAGATGAAACATACAAAGTAATAAACAATGTCTAGTAGTGTTACAAATAGTGATTGCTATGATTTGCACAGCTTGTGCAAGTCTTCTTACTGCTTTCCAGAGTACTCTCAGGCTAGCATGGTCTCAGACTTGTGCTACAACCTGTGTGTAAGGTAGTAAGGGAAGTAAATTGAGAAGGGCTGATATGAGCTTTAATATTCTTCTACAGTTTGCTACATAGGCACATATACTGTCACAGCAAGCATATCTGTAAATTACACTACTGTGAGGGAGTACTAACAGTAGCAACACATATCACTGTATCTAAATCTCAGTCCTGGTCAGTAAAGATCACCAATATTGATCTATCTTGTTGTGAACCTCTACATGTCAGATACCAGCAAAGCAGACATTCAAAGGCATATGTCAGACTAGACTGTACTTCTCTAACTCTTTAAGATGCCTTCCTTTGTTTGTGAGGCTTGTGGTGAGGTCTTTAAGAAGAAGAATGTATGAGCAATCCATTACAATTATTGTGTTGATGCAAGTAGTGGTCTGAACTCTCTAAAATGTATTAGAGAGTCAAATAATAAAGTGAAAAAGAGAATAAGGTTAGGTACATATGATAGTATCTTGATTCTTGGGCAATGCTCACCATTTTGTGTAGCTGAGACCTAGGCATTCAAAGTGGAGGATGATACTCAGACTGTTCCAGCCCTATTTGACAAGCCTCTTGAGTTTCCTGAAGGAACTAAATGTAAGAAACAACTACTAAAGCAATTTACAGATCTCCTACCATCTACTTCAAACTTGTCTGTACTTCCTACTGTATCTCTTCCACACCTTCTTGAGTTCATACCATCTTAGCTTCCTTCTCTACTACCTTGAGTCCCCTCTCCAACTCAAGCAACTCCAGAAATCATGTAAGGAACAAGAAGGAGGCTCTTTTTGTCTGAGCCAAACAAATACAAGTTGCTTTGAGAGTACCCAGATTTGCCAGATGACTTCCCTGACAAGACACTCAACCTTGAGGACTTATGCAACTTACTTAGACTTTCTGTAGTTGATGCTCTGACTCAAACGTCCTCACTCCCTGAACTTATCACTAATAAATATGTGCTGTTCAATAATGCAGCAACTTACCTTTTAACAAGCTGGGCAAATCACAAAGTGAAAGAAAAGACAAATAATGAGCTGGATGTCCTTGTACACAAAGTCTTGCTTCATCCAGACTTCAAGCTATTGGACTTAGTAGACTACAGAGCAAGGTAGGAGAATTCACACATTGACAGTCCACACCACAATAATGATTCCCCTGAGTCTTCCTATTCTGATGACTGGCACAAAGGATCAGTTAAGATCAAGCTACCTTCTGAAGACAATAAGAAGTGGCCTGGGGGCAAAGAAAGAGCTCCTGAATTCAAAGTCAGGAGAATACACTACTGGCCCTTACTAACAACAATCTTTAAAGCCTTGGACAACCCTTGTTCTCCTCCTTTTCATTATATGCCTTACAGGGAGCTTTGGAGACTAACAGTATGTGTAGTATTAGAGCTGTATAGCAAACTTTCTACTGACCCTTAATTATCTCTCCTCTTCCTTAAGCATGACTCCCCTCCTGAACACATTTATAGTGAACTATATTGCTCAGATTATTGGTTGGAAGCCCACAAAGAAGTACAAAGCTTTCCAACACAAGACAGTGCTGAAAACTTTGTACTTCCTCTTATTCTCTATTCAGACTCAACACATCTTGCAAATTTCGGTTCTGCATCACTTTGGCTAATATACATGTACTTTGGAGGCTAATCTAAGTACATACATTATAAATCTTCACAGACAGCTTGCCATCATCTAGCATATATTCCTTCAGTGAGTACATTCCTTCTATATTTCTACTGTTCTTTGTGATACATGACCTGACATACAGTATTTACATTGATAAAGCTCCCAGCATCAGTTCAAGATACATATAATGAGGTTTATGGACAATCTACATCTTTGGAACTCCTCACTCACTTAAAGTGCAAACTATTTCAAGCTGTCTTGTCCCATATCCTCTTACAGCCCAAAATTCTCAAAGCATACAGCTCTGGTATTCTATTCAACTGCTCAGATGGAAAATTATACAGGCTCTTCCTAAGGTTTGCTTTTTACTCAGTAGACTACCCTGAGAAGTACGTCTTGTATCTATTTACTATCTTCTTGTTTGCATACACTACAATCTTCACCTCAATTTATACAAGGATAACTGAACATTGCTACAGGATGCTCATTACTAGCTTGCATGTTTTAGGCAAATTCTCAAGCCCTACAGATATTACACCAACCAAATTCAACCATATGCTTAGTACCAGAGCCAATCAACAAAGACAAACTCACAAACGTATTAATGATACAGTACAGTAAGAGAAGATTTCTAGAGCACAACAGTAGATTTTTCAATTAGGGAAGCCTGTAGAATCCACCTGGATAAAAAATCTCCTTAAGGACAGATCCCTCATACCAGTTAATGTAAGTGAACTGTTACTATCCAGGCAATGCTCCTTATTACTCACTTATCTTATTTTTATAGAATGCTTTTTCTATGCTTTGCAAGCACAGATTCAATTTCTTTGACTTATTTGTCCCAGACCCTATACACAAATTTGAGCTGAGGGTCTGGAAAGCAATATTTACTCACCTCTTACACATTCTTTTTGTGTAGGGAGGAGAGAGCATACTAATGCTTAATAGAAGGTAAGCATCTATGTTATAGCCTCATCAATTACCTTGCTGTTGTCTATTTAGATATATTCATTATATTTTAGGTATCACCATACTCCTACATTCAGAATGGATACAATCTGGCAATTTTCCAGAAATATGTTTGTAATGAAAAACATTACAGCCAGAGACTTCAAAGATATTCTACAGGTAAGTACCTCCCTCAAGACTATTAATATATATGTACTACAATAGGATGTGTATTACCTAGTGCACTATACCAGCCTTTAAGGATTTACTACTAAAGAAATATAATAAAGTGGTCCTTGACCTTTTATTCATCTTAGCAACCTAGCATACACTTGCAAAGCTCTACATTCATACAGAGACTACAGTTCAGTTCCTTGAGGAGACAACAACATTGCTGGGATACCAGGTACAATGCTTCAAGAAGACTGTATGCTTGGCCTACAATACACACAAACTCTTAAAGGAGATTACTGCTCAAGGACATTGTCAAGCTGCCCTACTCAATAAGGGTAAGGCAAAGGGACTGGACACAAAAACAATCAGATCTAGTGTGAAAACTAAAACACTCAACATCAATATGCTGAAATTTTATTCTCTTAGTGTATATGCTTCTGCCATTTGTCAATTCAGTATGACTGATTCATACAGCACACAAATTGTTAAGTGTCTACTTCACAATACACTCTCCATACTTATCTCAATTGTGTATCTTCACAGGGGGAGTCTCAGCATAGGAGACTCAAACACATGTATGCTAGGACAAACAAGCAAGACACTGCAAAGGCAGTTTCACAACTAGAGGGTAGGACCTGTAAGATACATAAGATTAATTCTTGTATCAGCCTTAATGATGGATCTGGGGATCCTATCAAGCCAAGGGATCTTAAAGTCCATTATAACATGACAGTATCAAAAAAGGATTCTATCCATCTTTATCAGTGGCTTTCAGATAATGATTCTGACCCAGCTTTACAGGTGAGTACATTATTGGTCTCCTCTTTCTATTTCATGTATACAAGCACTGATGCATTACACACTTGCTAGAATTTCCTACCAAGTCTTTGTAGGCACCTGCTTGAACACATTCTCTCAAGACAGGAAGACAAGACCTTCACCATGTCAGCGACAGCGTAGAGGGGACCCGAAGGCTCAGCGAGGGGACCCAGGCTACAACTATCCTACACAACAGAAATACGGAACGCGGGCACCGGAACGTAGTCGGAACTCGCGGAACGGGCGGAGAGAGAGAGTGAGACAAGAGTAGGGTATATAGAGTGAGCCTAAGAGTACAGGACTACCTGGAGTAGACGAGATCAAGACTACCCGGACCAGTCTGATCTCGTACGCCTATATATACTAAACTACACAAGAGCACTCAGGGAGTATGAGCCACTAAGAATGATAAGCCACGAAGAATGAAAGAAAGGAATGTCAAAGATAAAGGTACAAAGAATGAAGGGATGGACAAAGGGTAAGAGACCATAGAATGATACAAAGAATGAAGGGGTGGTCAAAGGAATGGAAATGATGAAGTAAGGAAGGGTAGTGGCAAGAGTCAGCACGCATATAGTCCATAGACAGCGCCCCCGAGGGACGGAAGTCCCGAGTTCCGGTACGGAAGGTGCGGAATCCTCGGAACTGAAGGTACGAGAGCGGAGAACCGTACATCACCCCCCCCCTCTAAAACCATCGTCCCGA